GAGAGGCATCTGACAGTTAAGGGCACAGACTCTGAACTGGTCCGTTCTGTGAGATGTGGGGCTCATTACTTACCTCACCGTCACTGTGTCTGTTTCCTCACGTGTAAAATGAAACCACAGGAATGGTTCCTACTTTGAGAGGTTATTGTGAGGACTAAATATATATTTATAAAATGTACTTAGAACAATGCCTGGTACATAGTATGTGCACCTTAAGTGTTTACTAGTACTGTTTTCTTTTTCAAAGAAAATGCATCCCTGGTGTACCACTGTGTCCCCTTTCCTCCTGTACCGCATGCATTTGTCCCTCTCAGCTTACCTCATCTCCCCCCCCCACAAGAAATGTTATGATTGATCACATCTGGTGTAGTGAAACTGAAATCAATTTTAAAAATCAAGGCATCTTAGCCAACTTTCCTTATGAAAGGCTTATAGTCATGGTTCCTGGAGATATGAGTTGGATTTTTCTCCCCTCAAGTCAGCTAAGTGGATTATGGTGTTCTGGGTAAATAACTAACGAGCTCCAAATGGTTGGTTTAGTTCCTCAGTCTTTGATGGTCTCTGGGAGGTGATGCAAAAAGTACCAACAGCTCACCAAATTGCCGATAAATATTTTGATGGGAAGCTTTTCTGGTTCCACATTTTAAACTAAGTAAAACCAAACATATCAGTACTCACAGTTCTTCAGAAAATTAAAGTGTGTTTCAAAATATTTACTGTGAATATCATATGGTTACAAAGGCTGCAAAATAAGGTCATAGCATCTAAGTTATGTAATTAAAATCCATTGTTTTTCTTGGTGCAACTATCATAATTTCCTTAAAAACAAAAACAAAACAACTATCAATCCAGATTGTAAAAAGGAAACAATGCAATTGTTTATATTCAAACAAATGAGTTTTTAATGTTGTGTAAAGTATATTATTAGGGAAATGCTTTAATTAGCCAACTTCTTTATTAAAAGATTACAGATGATGCCATTTGATGTTTGTCTTGATTTCATTTCAGACAACCATCATTGGCTCTAACCGTTGCCTCTCTTAGGCAGTTTCAAATTTACAAAAATGTTGAACTCCTAAGTTGAAAATTAACACACTAGACTACGTCCCTTCCCCTTTTAACATCATAAAGGGCATTTCAACAAATCAAGGCACTTTGTACCCCCCAATGCTTCATCTGGCTATGAGTCTGAACCCTGTGATATCATAGAAGGTTGTTTCCTAAACACATCACTGGAACTGGGGACATCTAACATCTGTGGTGCGTGGCATACAGGTTCACTTTAATGGTATATAACACGCTATTTTTTCTCTATGGAGTCATCCCTTTGGTATTCTCAAGCTATGTGGGTTTAGTTGAAATGAACTCCACTGCCTGTCCTCTGCATGGGTCTTGATTCTCCTAATATGATCAGTGTATTTGTCACCCAACCCAACCCCCAGTGGCTATTGTGATTGGCTAAGGCATGAACACACTAACCAATAAGAGCCAATGATGACCTTTGCTGAGGATTCTGGGACATGTTTTCCCTCTCTCCTGTGTGAACAACCAAACCAAACCCAACAAAACAAACAAGGAAAAAAACCCACAAACCTTCCCTTTTCCTTAGAATGAGACCTCTCTCGTGCCTTAGAATGAATGGCAGGAGAATGTGAGGTCTACAAGGGAGGTGTGGCAACACTGTTGATAAGGAAAACAAAGCCTGGTGCTACTATTGGGGTCGGGGGTGCACAGCACCCTGTGTAGCCCAATTTAGAAGACAGCGCCACAGAAGCCAGTCCTTTACATTGGAGCTGGAGAGACCTGAGCCCTGGGAACATAGCATGAGCTTTTGGATTAAGCTTCACTTGAACCCATCACAACTCTGGTCTTTTCAGTTACTGAGTCAAGACATTTCCTTTAATGTTTGTCAGCCTGGGTTGCATTTTCTGTTACTTGCAATATAAAGAGCCCTAGATAATGCAGGTAAAATAGCCTAGAATGGATAGGGACAGTTGACCTCCAGAACTTGTATTCCCTGGAGCCCCATGGTGCTACTTCCACCATGATAGTGAGTGGGAAGGAAATGAGCCAAAGTCAGGCTGTCAGCCAATAAAACAGAAAGGTAAGAAATTCAAGGATGGGACCGGCCGAGTGGCTCCTTGGTTAAGAGTTGGCTTGGGAGCACAAGCTCTGAGCAGCAGGGCTCTGGTTCGGATCCCACATGGGACAGTGACACAGCCCTCTACAGCTAAGATGGTGAACAATAGCTCAACCTGGAGCTGGGCTGCCGTAAGTTGCCGGCAACGGTGTAGGCTGCAGTGGAGCTGCTGGGAGCTGCTGGGAGCGGCTGTCCAATGGCCGGCGACCGATCTGCCTCAGCTGGGAAGAGCACAATGATAATACCAACATGGGCCAGTGAAGCGAAGTCCTCCACAACTAGACTGAAGAACAAAAGGACAGGAACTTGTCTGTTCCCCTTCTCCGATTCCCTAACGCTGTTCTCTCTCCCAATTCCCCAATAAAATCTTTAAAAAAGAAAAAAAAAAAAGAAATTCAAGGATGGCTTCCATGGTGATGCCAGAGAGAAAAAGGAAACGAAGAACCCAGAGACACAGCTTAGGAGTTGGAAGTTTCTGCTCAGGCATGCCAGAGATAAGAGCCTGAGTTGGTGTCACTGTTTTCCAGCAATGACTGAAAAGTAAGTAATCAGGGATTTGTGAACTAGAGGCTGCCTGATTCTCACAATTGGTTGGTAAAGTAATTATGAAAAGTTTTCTAGTTCATAGAAGAAATTGGTCATCATCTTCTAAGAAGGAGCACTTCTTTTCAATGCAGATAAAATAGATGTGCTTTGCAAAAAAAGGCATGAGCATAAGTGTTTGTTTTTCAGGTTATTCTAATCAGTGGACGGTCAAGAATAATAAACCACTCTTTCAAATCAGCACTATATTTTGTTCATTTGTCATTTCTGAGCCGCTCATTCATAGTAAGTAATAATTTTGTTAAACTTTAAGGGTCACATTTAAATGTTTAGCCTTGATTTTAATAATAGACCTGAGACATTTTCCATGGGTTTGCTCTTTTTCACAAATTATTATTCTGCCTTGGGAAATAAAATAGAAAGGAAATAGAATGAGACCGGGAGGCAAGAATACATTTCTTTAGCTTATTATGAGAAAAGAATATCCTTTCTTTGTCCATTCTGAACTTAGAAATCTAGTTTTCTATGTAATACTGAAATATTTAACAATTCATAAAAAAGTACACATTTACATTAAAATACAACCTTAAATACAGCCCTGTAATTTTTACCAGGAACCTTGTAAAATATGATGAATATACATGCATGAATGCTAAAACAAGAAAGACCATTCAACATTCACAGGAAAATGCATTACATACAATATAATAAATATCTAGGATATCAAATCCACAAATTGATCATTATTCCGATTTAGATTCTTCTTTACAGTTAAGACTTTTACTGTATAATTTATTATAATAACCTTACAAGTTAAACATAGCTAATTATTAAAAACAGATTTCAACTAATCTGACTGTTGAAATAACACAATCTTCAATATTTTGCAGCATATTTTAATCTATAACACATAAAACTGTCATTTTGGCAAGAAATACACATCCGTATAGCTAACTGCTCAATTAACTTCTTTTTCAATGTATAAAAAAGGTCAGTTAATAGTATGAAAAGAAACAGAAGCTAATATTTCTGAGATAATTTTATTGCTTCAGCTCTAGGGCTTTGGCAATAAATGTCTTAAGTTTTAATATAGATCATATAACTTAAATACTGTATGTACAAAATATAAAACTTTTTAGCAAAATACTATACACAATACTGTCTTTACACATTTAAAGGATGCTTTTCCTTACAATGTATGAGAGCCCTTTCCCTCTCATTTTCCCGCAGGCTTTCATGACCCCTCCCTCCCACAGCGTTTCAGAGCGGGCTTTTTAATAGTGGAAGCGGGTCTATGATTAAAGTATAAAGCTGAAGATCAAAGGTTGTTATATACCATTCTGAGGTTTTTCTAAAAATTCTCCTGGTTAAAAGCCACTTAAAATTCACAGTCCACATTTCACTTTTTAACATTTTGATTTTTTTCCTTCGTCACTTCAGCAAACACTTTTTAAGGCTATTCTATCACTTTTTGAAGAAATTTTTAGTTGCCTGTCCTTTGAAATGCACGAAAAGGTAAGCCAACACCCACCACTTCTGTGAATTTTTCAACACCTTGTGCATGTGTGCACAAACACTTAGCATGATTTCTTCATCTAAAATACTGAGAGAGTACATGAGATTCGCGTTACTGCTCCTCGCTGTTCTAATAAGGTGTCTTTAAAAATGACTAATATTCACCCACCACTACTGAGTTCCATAGCTGAGTTCCAGAATCAAGGCTCTCATTCTGACGATGGACCAGGTCTCCCGGCATGAAAGTTTCTTCCTGTTCTTTCCTGCTCAGGAGACAAACTATCCTCTTTGTATATCAATATATGAGGTCTGACAATTAAGTTAGCGAACTTGTTGCAATGATGTTGCTAACCTTTTTTGATATTAGAGGGATGATTCATTATGAATTTGTACCAACTGGACAAACAGTTAAGCAAGTTTACTATTTGGAAGTGCTGAACGGCTGCATGAAAAAGTTAGACGACCTGAACTTTTCACCAACAATTCATAGCTCTTGCATCACAACAATGCACCTGTTCATACGGCACTGTTGATGAGGGAGTTTTTAGCCAGTAAACAAATAACTGTGTTGGAACACCCTCCCTACTCACCTGATCTGGCCCCCAATTACTTCTTTCTTTAACCGAAGATAAAGGAAATATTGAAAGGAAGACATTTTGATGACATTCAGAACATCAAGGGTAATACAATGACAGCTCTGATGGCCATTTCAGAAAAAGAGTTCTAAAATTGATTTGAAAGGTGGACTAAGTGCTGGCCTCGGTGTATAGCTTCCCAAGGGGAGTACTTCAAAGATGACCATAGTGATATTCAGCAATGAGGTATGTAGCACTTTTTCTAGGGTGAGTTTGCAAAGGTAATTGTCAGACCTCGTGTATTTCCCAAACCACAAAAACATGAACCCAAACCTTTTCAACTTTAGAATACCCCAAATCTACATGCTCAGTGTGTGACTGGACATCGACTGGATAACAGGAACTCTGAGAGTGTCCAAGGATCTGGGAATTCTGAGGCAGGAGTCGACTTCACCAGCTCTGCACAGCTAGAGGCACCCTCTGCTGGCACTTCCGCTGTCTGTCACTGAGGAGATTCGCCCAAGGCTGGATGGAGGGGTTACTTGCAAGTGTGGACATCGGTCATGCTTTCACACCTCCTGCAGCGAACATAGCAGCACCAGATAAACTTGCACTCGCACCTCTCCACGTGCCTGACCACGTGAGTGTTGTAGCCTCGGCCACAGCAGAGGAGGTTGCAGCCATCAGCACCCTCTGACGTTCGGTTGCATTCTCTGCCTTGTGTCCCTGGGATCCCTAGTTTCTTATCCTCCACACAGTAATTGGGAGACTTATTAATGTAGAGCAGATCATCCTTGCGAATTGGTACTTTCCTCTGGTCTTTTTCTCGCCTGCGCATTTTCCTCTTTATTTTGTCTGAGACTTGAATACTGTTTTCATATTTATCCTTCAACAAATGGCCAATCTTTTCGAAAGAAGACATGGTTTTCCAGCACGTTTTCACAGCACAGGAGCCGGAAACTCCATGGCAGCGGCAGTCGACAGACATCAACTTGGCGACAGCCTGAAGCCAACAGAAATTGTATTAAATATCACTGGTGAAGAGTTTTACTCAACAGTAGAAGCAAACTTACCAAATCACTTAATTTCCTGGGCTGAGTTTCCTCCTGGATAAAAAAAGTGGTTTTGAGCATAAAGGATCTTTCAGATTGCTTAGAGTTTAAATGTTTTGTCTTTCTCTTGACCCTGCAGAGCAAACCTTTCCAAATCAGATTTAAAGTGGTGAACCAGGCTAACATGGTTATCAGAGATTATCTGAGATAACACAGGGAAACTACTTTTATTTCGAACCTCTTGGTGAATTTTGGGTGTGGGAGGATGTTCACGCACACCTCCACGTACCTGATACCATTTAGCACCCTGCTCCTCGGAGCATGGTTCCTAGACCAGCAATGGCAGCATCACATGTGAGAAATGCAGACCCTCAGAATCAGGAGACCAGGTGACTCACGAACACGTTAAAATATGAGAAGCACTGATAGAGCAATCATTCTCAACACACATGGTGCATGGGAACATCTGTGGAACCTTATAGCCAGTGCTTAACCCCTTAAGATTCTGATTTAATTGGTCCAGGTGGGGTCCAGGTAATGGTATTTCTACAAAGCTGCTCAGATGAAACTAATGGGCATCAAGGGATGAGAGTTACGGACTGAATTGAACGTACTCAGGTTTGATCACTGTAAAAGTCATTTACATTTATGGGGTTTTCAGGGACATGCTATCCCCTGGTCACAGACCACATGAGAAACCCTGACTAATCAACTCAAGTTGGGCAAAAGAAGAGGGGGCCAGAGAGTATAGTTGCTCCCCCAAAACATCTCCCCCTCTTCTGGAAAATTAATTCAAAACATATCTCTTCTTCTTGATGGATCAGGGGCACCATCCTAATACAAAAAGGGGATAATATTTATGTGATTTTTCAATTCCATGTACTGAGTTTAGTTTATACAGACTGAGAAATTAAATGAGATTACATATATCTGTAAGAGCCCACTGCCTGGCATACATTAAAGTTTAAGTAAATGCCCCCTTTCTCTGAAGAAGAAGGTATAGTAAGAGTTGAGATAAAATTTCAAATGGAGCTAACAGTGTAAAAACAATATGGAGATTTCAAACGTTTTAGTGCTCTAATCTCTTACATGCCAGGCTAGTCAGCACAGCTTCCTTTAGTCTCCTGAGGATGGCAGAACAGGTTAATAAATCGTCAGGATGAGCTGTAGAGTTGACGTCTGTTAACATGCTGGGTAAAGTGAAAAACTGATCTATCCACTCAATAACTTGGCAAAACCTCTCAGCTTCAATTCCACTTACAGTTCTTTTCAAAACTATAACATGACAGGGGTTTATACTTCGCTATTTTGTACCAAACAAGGCATTGACATGTTTGCGGAATGTTACGTTTCCTAACAAACTAACCAAAATTTCTGAACTGTTTAATGAGACAGCATATTTCAAACAATTTATAATATTTGCAACCTTGAATGAAAGCATGTGGTATTGATTTGTGCATTACTCGATACTTCTTACTGGTGTTTAAAATAATAAACCGAATAGTAGTTAAACCCTGTTCTTTATAGAATACAGCACATATGCTCTTTTTTGAATTCAAAACACTGAGAAGAGAATAGATAGGTCTATTTCTTATTAACTCAGGCAAAAAGGTAGCTTTCAATGAAATGAAAGCAATTTATAAAGTAGGGCACACCGGCTTATTCAGTTAAATTTATGGCATTTGATGTTCACAGAGCCTTCAATTATTTAAAATGTCTCCAGGCAAATATATGTTCAAATTAATGCAATCTACCCATTTTGTTCAGATTTTAAGTGCCCGAAGGATACAAGGAAAAAAAAGGGCTCAATCAATGCTAGGTAATACCAAAACAAATTGCCCAAAGCAAGTAAAAATTCTAAGGAGGTATGTTTATGTATTTAAACCCGATCAACGTTCCTTACAGTCATCGCCTAGTGATTTAAAGCTGCCCCTTGCTCCGGATCATGGCTGAGAAGCTTTTTCTTTTATTAACCAGTTCTGATGTCACGTATGGCGTTGCCAATTTGCAAAACATACAAGACAAAGTGAATGCTCACCAAATACTTATTGAATAATTAGTCCAGCTCACTTGAACAGTTTTAACTCATCCCCTGGTAGAGGAAATAATAAAAAAAAACACCTTCTTAATCAAGAGTCATTGCCCAGAGGTCAATGGTCTTGGGAGACCTTAACCCGGCTGGGCTCTCCTCCAATTCGTCAGCCCACGGCAGAGGCAGTAGGCTACTTCACAGATTTGAAGGATAAAAAGATAAACTGATTTTCAAATTCAACATGACTTGTTGAATCTGTATTGAAATTTGTGTGTGGGGGGGATTTTCATGCTATAGAAAAGTAGCTCTTTTAAGTATCTAGAGTGAACTATAACTTTTCAGGGATGACATTGAAAGAAGTAGTATTTGATTATTTTTGAATTCTATACTTCTTTGTCCCTAACAATAAGTGTAAAAAATAGTTTTTATCGTACATACATATATTCTAGAATAGAAAGGCAAACTTCAAGAAGAATCCCAATACCTTGACATGCAATTTAAATGATTATATCCCCATAATTCTCCAAGGAAGGGACTTAAACTAATAAGGATTAAAACAAAGCAATGTAATCACAACTGACAGAATTTGATGAAATGCAAAATCGAGAGCAGATCACACACACACACACACACACACACACACACACACACACACTCTGTTACAGAGCTTAGTGCTTCTTAGAGTACATTTTCATAAATTATTTTACTTAATTTAGCTTTATCGGAAGAAATGTATTGCACATAGTAAGTAGTGAATGAATATGTTCTTATTACAATTTTACAGAAAAATAAAGAGTGTCGTTAAGAAAGACACTTGTCTTGCATGAGGAAACTTGATGATACATAATAGAAAGTCTTTATGTGCAGCAGGATAATTTTAGTAGAACAGAGAAAAATGAAAGTAGAAAACACAAATATGTTTAAGAAAATTGCATGAATACTCCAAAAAAAAAGTGTATTCCAGAGTTTTTCAGCTAGGATTCCTAATTAATGTTAAACAGCTCTCCTGAGCTCCACTGATAGCACAGTCATATTTTTGGGAACAGAAAAAGTAAAAGAATAGCAACCAAATGAGTTGTGTGTGGTTATGAGAAAATTCCTTTCTCTACTCTAGTTGAGTTGTTAAGGTTTATAACGATATTAACAGAGGAATGTTTTGTTAACTATTGCAAACAGATGTGTGCATTTTGGTGGAATATTTTTAAACTATGGGAGAGCAATTAGGAGGGGAGCATTTAATCTACTAGGCTCCTTGTGTTAGGTTTTGGTTTGATACATTCCTAGTGAAGTGAAATAAGAAAGATGTATCTTTAATAGTTAAAGGTAAAAATAGAAAATGCTTGAGAAATGGTCCAAGGAGTGATTGGTCAGGCAAATTTGACTCAGGTAACACAGCAAGCAGTGATTGTTTTCCAGTGTATTGCTTTATCCAAACTTTACAGAAATGATCAAAGAAACTGTTGTGAAATGTTTTGCGATGAGCATTTCACTTTGTCAACTGTCAGATGATCGGTTTAAGTTTTTATGAAAACTGCGACATAAAGTTGGGTGGGTGTAGGTAGAATTCTATTCCTCTGGCCCATTTTGTGCCTTTTGGTCCAAAAATATATTTGAACCTGCTGAAAAGCAAAACACTTATGTGTTGGTCAAGCACTTATAACTATTCTTGAAACAGGTCAATGAAAATTTGGGTTTGGGCCCTTCCCACTTTTTCGAGTTACTCATCATAAAACAAATTATGGGGTAGGGAAACTTAAAAGTTTATGAGGTGGACATGAGAAGAATGGAAATATTTTAAGCACACCAAAAGAAATACCCATAAATATTCCAAGTCACATTATTCCCAGAAGTTCAGCCCCTGGAAGACATCACATCATTCTGTTAGCCAATCACCATTCGGCAACATTATTCTTGGAGTCATAACTTTAGGAATGGTGTCAGAAACCAAGTGGGAATTTAAGGTCAGCGGTTAGAAAATCATCTATCCTGCTCACAGCACTACTAAGCGCCAGTACCCACATTTCTCTAAACGCTTTCCGACATTTGGAGTTTGAGATTTTGAGAACTAGAAAAATCAACTCAATTGAATGCAGAACTTGAACTTTACTCAGAAGAATATGCCTATTAAACTGAAATTCTATTTGCCAATATTGAATATGAAGTCCATTGTTTTTCGATGTTAGATAATAACCTGGAAACCTAGTTAGTTTGTTGTGGTGGTGGTAGTGGTTTTTATTTTTTTGGCCATCAAAGGAAAGAAAAATATAAAAATGCTTTGAATTGTAATATTTCATGAGAAAAGACCAATAAAAACACCACTGTAGTGCCTCAGAATATCCAGGTAATATTTTAAGTTTCCATGTAGACTAATGTGAAAAAAAAAGGTTCAGTAGAGAAAATTGAACTTTATACAAAATGTATATATATGTATAGGCTGAATTATTTTCAGCATAATTAAAATAATAGCAAAAACCTAAGGAATGTGAAGAGATTGTTTTTTGGGGGTTTTTTTGCCAACAATGGATTAAAATTGATGCTGAATAGTTGTATGTTTTTAATAAAATTAGAATATAAATACTATATTAAGATCCAAGTTAATAGTTACCAAGGCAAATATTGCTACCTAATTTGAAAATTCACACAAGATGGAATAAAAGTAAGTAGCTGCCTAATGTTACTAATAAAATACATTTTAGAATACTTTAGGACTTTTCATAAGTTCAGAGATGACTTCATTTAAGAGCATCATAACATGAGTTTCTGAATTTTGTTTCTTGGTTAAAATGTTTTCAATCTCTAACAAATTATTTAAAGAATGACTAAAGAAGACGTGAGGTCTAAATCAATAATTAATATTCATTTAATTGTTTTCTTAGTTTTTAAATATATTAATTTGACTTATCTCGATGCTTTTTTCGAGCTTAACTAGAGTTTTAAAGAACATATGTTAATTACTCTAACCTCTTTTATATTAATATATTAGAAATAATAAAAAAATCCCTTTAATATTGGTTGGATAGTATTAGTTAAAGCAAAACCTAATTAATTTATTTTTTAATGTAAAACTTTAAGGAGAAGAGACATGTACATAACTATGATATTAGGCAATAGTACTTCAGTGAAGTAAATTAACTTTTAAAGTTTCTAAACAAGAACATAAAAAGCCTACATAGCTATTTACTAATTTCCTATTTTCTATTTTGCTATTTTGAATTGAAGATTCAAATCGAATTGAAAATTCAAATTTAAATTCTAAGTGTTATGGTGATCTATTTATTGAGCTTACTGTTTTTGTATTTTAAACCAAAGTGGTTAAGGAAAGAAAACTGGCTGGAACTTGTAACTATTCTGAATGGGTTCCATTTATTCACTTTCCAAAAATGTAAAACAAATGCAACAGAAACTTTAAATATTCCTGAGAGATACTGCAACTTGTTTTAATTTATTTCAGGAGACTGTGGCAGATTGGAATGACTACTTTGGGACCTTTATAGGTTAGAGAGTATTTACAATAATATATGATATGTGCTGATATTCCTGTCCTGAAAAGATTATTACAACATAGAAAATATATATTCATCAAAAAGGTTTTGACTGTTTTAATAAAGTCACTATGAATTACCAAGTAAGTTAACTATGGTATAGAACTCAAACCTTATTGTGTCAATCTTCAATAAAGTAAATATATAAAAGTTAAATTGGGTTATGAATTTAGTCCATTTTAAGAAAACTTAGTATAAAAAAGCCAGAATTCATAAAAGAAGTTAGATGGTAGCACGTCAAATTTACTTCCCGCTCAATCTTTAATATATCTACATTAAAAAAATATCCATATATTTAACACATCTATAGCTTCCTTACATTTATCTGTACTTATCAATTTTACAATGGATCTACATGCTTTATAATAACATAGCTATTTCCCTTAAAAAACTTTGTTTTACCAAAAATATTAGTTAAATATTGTGTATTCCAAATGTATTTAATAATGTTTGCTAGAGAAAGTAAGGGCAAAACTGACGACACATTTTGGAGCCATTACCGACTAAAAAATAGATTTTAAAAAATAATCAAAATTCAAATTGGAAGGAATGAAATTTGATCCAGTCCCATTAGAAAAGCAGACATAAATCTTATTCAGGCTCTGCCACTAACCACCTAAGGGGATAGAACCCAATAACCCAAAAGGCACTTGTACATCTATTATTTGATAATTAGTGTTTCAGGCATACAAAGTATACAATCACAGGCACGTTAGATGGAGAACTTAAACGAAGTCAATGTGGTCAGTACAGGCTCATGACAGAAAAAAATTATATATGTGTATATACTTCTTAGAGTGCAAGTGTGTGGTTTTTTTAAAAAAAAAACTATTTGAACAGATACATTCAGAAGTGTAACACTAGTAATATTTATCTAGAGGCACTAGATGTTTTATTCTGTTTTCTAATACATACCTGCCTTCCAGCTTCATTGTTATGTAGATTCATTGTTAGTAGGACTTTGTTTTCTTTTTCGGTGCTGTTTCTGATGGGGACATCTAGGAACTTTCTGCTGAACCACATGCCATACTGGACATCATCCGAGCAGCCCCCCCAGTGCCAGCCTTCGCTCGCTGAGCCACCGTTCTGCAAGGTGGTGTCACAGGAACACTCCGTCATGTTGCCTGCACTGCATGACCTGGTCACAGAATGCACCAGGCCTGCAGCCATGACAGCATAAATAAAGGCTGTTTCCTTGGTGCCTGGAATAAAACAGAAATCGCTAATTGAAAGGGCCATGCCAGTATGTTTATGTTCATAATAGAACCTCCTACTCACCCTCCTATCAGGGAGGCAATTTTTCAGTTGCTTACAATGGATGCTTAAGGAGTACTTATTTAGAAAGGATGGTTTTTCTATTGTTCTAGTATTTTAAGAAAGCAGCATTAATTTCCAGTATTCCGCCTGAGGGACCTGTCATATATTGTATGTCACACGTTGTCCTCAGACTTAAAATACCTAAAATATGAAATATATGTCAGCACCTAGAGCAGTGCCTAACAGACAATGAAAACTCAATAAATACATGTTGAATTTTAAATACTTTGAGTGGATACCATAAATGGTAACACAACTGCCCCAAAGAGTCCAGATTATCTTTCTTTTTAAATTGAAAAACTGTTCTCACAAAACACAGGCTGAAAAATTTGGTGTGATGTTTGGTTGCAGAAATAATACATGTCAGCAAGAAAATTAAAATTAAGCAAAGACCAAAGAAATTAGTAGATAAATGTTACAGTTTAATTTCACATTAAAGACTTCCTTTTTTTTTTTAGGAGCTCGTGAATAACAACCCTGATATTAATATGAACCAATTATATATAGTTGGTATATAGCACTAGCTAATCCTCTTACATCCTTAAAGACAATGAAAGATAACTGAAATGTCACCAGCAAAACACACACAAAAAGAATTGTTATGGAAAATTATTGAATATGTATTTAGTTATGTGCAATAGAGTTTGAACTACAATCTTTGAAAGTTAAAGTCCTATTACAACATTAATAAAATGGACTAGAAGAGATTCCACAGGCAACTTTTTTTTTCCTTTCGAGATGTTTAGATTGGAGTAAAAACAATTGCACGCCCGTTGTCCAATAAACCTTTTCAACAGCTGATGTCTCTGCGTTTCAGCAACTGTGAAGAACATATCTTTTTTTTTTTTTCCCTTGCAGGGGGTCAGGGCTCCTTCGGAAGGGTGTGCCGGCCAAAACGCAGCAGGGCAAAAACGATGCTTTGGCGGCAGTGTGTGTAGGGACCGGGTGGGGAAAGGTCAAAGGGGAGGGAGAACGGAAATGAATGTGAAAAACAACGAATCTTTCGGCGCCCAGGTCCCAAAATTCTTTGAATCTGCTGATATTTCTGGAACACTCCTGGTTCCCTGTTCCTTTATCCTTACCAAGTCACCAGGCACGTGTAAGTAGAACCTTGTTTCACTACAGCTTCCCGCGCCGCGGGTGTGCGCAAAAGAGAGAAGAGATAGAAGGAAAAAACCAAAAAACAAAAAAACAGAGGGGCGAGCCAGAGTGGCCTTGCTTCTGTTAGTTGCACGTTGGGTTGTCCAGGACAATCCCTTTTCAAATTACCATTATTCTGTCTACCCGGTGCTCCGGGGAGTCAACAGACTTGGGGCTTCGCTGCAATTAGCCACTTGTCCAGGGCTCGGTGCGCAGCGGACCGAGCTGCTTAAATCAAAGCAGATGCAGCAGCAGCATTCTCTGCCGCCGACATCATGTTTCTCCAGCTGGTCACCCACGTAGGGGGGCGCTACGGGGTCCGAGGGGTCGGCGGGGTGGAGTGTCAGAATTTTTCTCTAACTCCAGCCAGGCACCGCGTGAAGGAGGAAAAGTTGCGGCTCCAAGCGCCCCGCTCTGGACCTGGGGAGGCACACCCTCCAGGACAGCACCTGCACCCGGGGTCTGGCTTCCATCGCTCCCAATTCTTGTCCACGAAAGGACCTCTTTGGGGATTTAGAGAGCGACGGAGCCATGCAAGCACTATGTATTTTATTTACAGGAACTGGAGGGGTTGTCACCCTCCGTCCCGTGCCAGCACCGAGGGTCCCGGGACTCACCGCTGCTCAGCTCGTAGCCAAAGAGGGGGCTGGTGCCCGCTGGGGCAGCGGCGGCCACCTGGCAGTTCCATCTCTCGTGTCTGAACTGGCTCCTGCACTCCTGGATGCCCAGCCGGGCGCCCTCTCGGATGCTGGGCAGCAGGTACGGTTTCCTCTTGCACAGCTCCTTCTGGCGGCTGTTCAGCGGCAAGTTGGCACAGCCCAGCTTCTCCGGAACCCCGAAGGAGGCGATGCCCAACCACCTGTAAGACACACAGAGCCGCCTGTAACGTAAGCCTCTTGCCTGCTGTCCGCCCCAGTCCCAGATATTTTCCCCCCAAATTAGATCAGCAGCCCTAGGGTCCTCTTCTCTCCTCCTCCGCCTTAGCTGAAAGTTCCCTGAGGCTGGGCACCCCTTTTGCCACATACCCGTGCACCCCTGCTGCTCCCATACTCACATCCAGTTTCCTTGGGCTCCGCTGGGGAACAACGCGAGCAAGGCTGCCCACAGCGCGCACAGGCGGGACAGTGCCAGGAGCGCCGCTCTGTCCATGGCCCCCGCATGGAGTCCCCCAGCCCCTGACACCCCTCTTCTACACTCCCCGCCCAGAGGCCCGCCAGGCCACAGGTCAGTTCCCTAGCACCAAGCTGCCCCACGCCCTGCCCTCTTGCTTCCTGCAGACAACATAAACAGAAGGCCAGCAGCAGTAGGGGCTCTCAGCAGCCTCCCCTCGCTTGCAGGGCGCAGCGTGAGGAGATGAAGAAAATGGTAGCTGGGGGCCCCCCTCCGGCGTCCGGTTGGAGTTGTGCTGGAGATGCGGGAGTGTCCCTCGCATTCCAAGGTGAGAAACTTCTGTTGATGTAGCTCTGTCTCCATCGCCCCCGGCCTCTCCTCTCATCTCCTCCCCCTGGCCGCCCTGGAGCCTGATTGGCCCAGCTGCTTCCCCGCACTCATCATCCCCGGACCTCAGGCTCCCATTGGCTGAGAGCGGACTCCGCGGGGGGCGCTTGGGCTGCGGCTCCCGGCAGTGTGTCCAGAGCCGGGTGTGTTCTTGACCTTTCCCCCTGTCACAGTCTCCTGAGAGTGAATCTCTGCAGGAGGGGTACGGATGCAACCTGAAGACTGATAGGGGCGCTTCTGTGTTAGTATCCTGAGGGGATGCGTGGGTCGAATGGGGGATGTTTGAGTTCCACCCACCCCAGTCACATTTGGATTAATTACCCTCTGGGTGGAGTGGCTGGAAAAACTCACTGTCCCTGTTTCTTTCCTCTCCACCTTCGTAGGAGAATAATCTTTTTGAGTCAGAGTTGGTACCAAACAAGTTGACCTTTCAACACCCTGCTTGAGAACGAACGGTGAAATGCTGTCAGGCTGGAGATCATAGTCTGGGCAAACACTCATTTTTAGCGAAAGGAAAGGTTCCAGTCTCGCATCCAATTGACCGTATTTACATTTTGTTGTGTGAATTCCTTTTCCCGGTTTGTCTTACATTCTGCAGTCCTTGAAAGCACTGTCAGAAAACGGAGCACAGAGAAAGAATGGGAGTGAGAGCTGCCTGGAGAGCTCTAGGATAGATGAATGCTGTGTCCTTGCCCTTCTGTCAAGTCCACGTTATGGAGACCTTGGTCAAGGCTGCACATTTAAGACGAATTTTTAAAACTTACTAAGTAAACGCCTACCGTGTGCCCAGTACTGTGGGAAATTACAAAGACAAGACCCTTTCCCTCGAGTGCACAGACCAGCCACGGAGACGAGTCTAAAACAAAATAATCTGAAATGTCCGTAAAGGAGAGTATGGTAGTCTTTGGAGTCAAAGAAATTGGAAGCAGAACGTAATGGTGCCTGGCCATTTAGGAAGGTTAGTTAACCTGTGTGTTGCAGGATAGATAGATATCTCCCGCAGAACTGTGAAGGCAGCGGGATGTGCTGAACTGTGGTAGCAGAAAGCGTGCCTCACCTAGTTGGTGACAGAAATGTTTACAGAGACATGTCCTGCTCTTCAGAGGACTTAGGAAAATTTGTAAATTCTCAGGTGGGCAGACAAGCTTAGTGATGCCAAAATCCAGACTTACTCAAATAAAAGATTTGCTTAATTGCTTTATCTTCAAATATCGGATTTTATTTGCAGCCTGCCTTCTTTGTCAGCCCAGAGCAATAAAAGCTCACTGAAATTTCCATCCTGTCCCATTTACCTAACAAATATTTATTGAGTGAGCTTTATGTACTAGTAAACCCCGTTGTAATTTTTAGAGAGTCACATTGAGTAGGGTGTAGTTACTGACCCAGGCATATTTTGGTGAATGCCTGATGGCATCTTGGAAACTCAGAGCCTTCCTTCAAGCCCACTTGGTTTTATGAGCTTCTCCAGGAGGGGTCCTGGAGCAGTCACTGTTGTACCCTTGCCATTGGGCCCAGTATATGAGATCTTGGTTTTGAACACAATTTACTGAGTGAATTAACATGATGAGGGACATTCTGAGCAGATGTCTAAGTGACCTAAATG